TGCATTCCTAAACTTTCTTTCTGGAACACTGACAGGATCTTTTACATTTTTCTTTTGAGTGATAATTCTCAAAACAAGGAACAACACACATTGCTGGATTTCCAGGACACACAGCACAATAATACGTGGTTTGTTTTCATTTGCAAATACCTCTCCCCTTTTTTGCACATTGTAAGGGCATAATGCTGCACATGCAGCAATTAGGCTTCTTTTTCTTGTCCTCAAATTGCCTAGGAAAATGGCGTTCTGTCAGCCTAATTTCTTTTGGTGCAGACATCCTGCAACCCTTCTTATTCCACCTTTTCTAGAAAATCCATCTAACAAGTCCTCTGTAACTTTTTCCCTGAATTTCCACTAGCTAAATTTACTGTTAGGGTTTTGATTATTGTAACATATATAGCCATTTACTAGAGCCACTTCAATGAGAAAATGCCATATGGTTTGATACCACTTCTTAGACTTCCTATCAAAAGGATAAGTGGCAGAGTTGATCAAAATAATCAACTCCACCCATAAATGAATTGTGCAGAATTTGAATATTTGGTTTCGAAACAGTTTTCATTGCTTCTTTTGATTTTACATGCACTTCACTGACACCACCATTCCCAACTGTGGAGAGCATGTTAACTCTCCCTGTATTCTGCCAAGTGCAAGCAAGCATTGATTGATCATGATTTTCCCATATCACCGGGAGGTCACCATGCTTAAGCTTGCAAATCCTCATATCTGAAGGTAAGTCCTCTCCTATTAGCATGCATTGTACCACATGCTCCAATTTTTTTCAATTTTAGACTCTCAAAAAGTTCTACACTTGAATAAAAATTGTCTGTATAAACTACATGTCTCTTGCCTTCAAATCCATTCAGCAAGCTGGACACCACCATTGCTCCCAAGCCAACTTTTCTATCTTGAGATGAATCTTTGCCTGTATATACCTCAAACTGCAACACAAATCCTGTTTGTGAATCACGGAGTGACCACATCTTTTTGCCTCACTTTGCACTTGGTTTACTGGAAAGATATTGCTTAAAAAATAGACGCCTCTTGAATTTCAACATGGACTCATCCACACACAATTCCTTATTGCTATTATAGGCAGAATATATGTATCCCTCACTAAATCTATTATGGGCTTGATTTTTGAAAGCTGATCAGTCTTTGAAGATTCATCATCATTATTGGAAAAATGAAGGAAGAACCTAATTAGTTGATATTCATTCCTTTTGAAAACAGCATTAAGGGCCGGCCGAGTGGCACGTTGGTTAGGAGTTGGCTTGGGACGCCAGCTCTGAGCAGCAGGACCCCGGTTCAGATCCCACATGAGGGCCAGTGATGCTGCGCCCTCTACAGCTAAGATAGTGAACAATAGCTCGATCTGGAGCTGGGCTGCCCTGAGTCGCCAGCGACTGCATAGGCTGCAGTGGGCTGCCATAAGCTACCATGAGTGGCTGGCAGCTGGCGTGAGCAGCCAGCAGCCAGCGTGTGCTGCCAAGAGCTGCCGTGAGCGGCCATCCAGTGGCCAGGGACCAATCTGCATCACCTGGGAAGTGAACAATGATAATACCAACATGGGCCAGTGAAGCGATGTCCTCCACAACTAGACTGAAGAACAAAAGGACAACAACTTGTCTGTTCCCCAATAAAATCTTTAAAAACAAACAATAAAAAAAACAACACAGCATTAAAACCAGGAGTTTGAGTTAACCAATAGATATCCTGAAAGTATGTATGACTCTAGTGTTGACCTGTGCATCAAACTCATCCCAATTTCAACAGCTACAAATGCCTTAATACCTTAATTTGGTCATTAACATCTTATCACTTGTTATACCTAGACCTAGGCGAGAGTTTTTCAACCCAAGATAGGATGTTTTCAGCATATCTATTTGTTTCATTGGCAACAAACTAAAAAAAAGATTAAGGAAAAAATTTAGTAAAACACCCATATGGTTCTAAATTGTCGAAACCAAGAACACTGTATTTTCCGATAAAGTCTGGAATAGAGTCTGATTCAGGTAAAGAATTATTTTTTATGTTACTAATCTTATGCCAGAGATGCCAAGGAATGTGATGCTCTGTTTGTAGATGGAGATGGCTCAACTGATATTACTTCATCAATGTCCTCCCCTGCTTTGTCCTCCATATCATTGTTGTTGTCATAGTTACTTTTGCTATCTTTTTGCAAAACCCTTTATATTTCTTCATCATCAGTTTTTCTTTTTCTTCATTCCACTCATTTCTGAACTTGGAGGAAAAAAATATTTCATATATGAGAACTTTGTTACTACTGCCATTGAACTGTACATATAAGGTTGGACAATTAAGTTTGCATACTCATCCTAGAAAAAGTGCTACATACCTCATTGCTGAATATCACTATGGTCACCTTCGAAGTACTCCCCTTGGGAAGCTGTGCACCGACACCAGTGCCTAGCCCACCCTTCAAAGCAATTTTGGAGCTCTTTTTTCTGGAATGGCCATCAGAGCTTTTGTCATATTACCCTTGATGTCCTGAATGTCATCAAAATGTCTTCCTTTCAATATTTCCTTTATCTTCAGGTAAAGAAAGAAGTCATCAGGGGCCAGATCAGGTGAGTAGGGAGGGTGTTCTAATACAGTTATTTGTTTACTGGCTAAAAACTCCCTCACAGACAGTGCCATGTGAGCTGGTGCATTGTTGTGATGAAAGAGCCATGAATTGTTGGCGAAAAGTTCAGGTCATCTAACTTTCTCATGCAGCCTTTTCAGCACTTCCAAATAGTAAACTTGGTTGACTGTTTGTCCAGTTGGTACAAATACATAATGAATAATCCCCCTGATATCAAAAAAGGCAAACAACATTGTTGCAACACTTTCGCCAACTTAATTATCCGACCCCGGATATCTTTTGGTAATGGGATGTATTATTACTTCAGTATGCTATGAAATACACATAAAATGAAAACTTACCTAATAAGCAGCAGAGAAAAATGAATGTAATGATAAAGAAACTCCAATCTGTCATAAGAAGTGCAGAATAACTACACCAGCTGCAAGGCACCAGAGCGTGAAAGGCACACAGCTGAGGGTGGACAGGTGAGGAATGTAAATATGTTTCCTGTTCTTGTGCGTTGATAGCGGCACTCAAGGACTTCTGGCGCTGGATTTAAGTGCCTGGGGATATACTCGAACTTCACAGTAGAGGGAAAAGTTTTTTGAGTCGTGAGGTAAACTCAAACTCCGTAGTCAGCAGATGAAAATATTCATTTGGATATATCTGGAAGTCGCAGCAAAAGGGTAAATATTTATCTAGTGGGGTGGGGGTGGGGGAAAGGTGGGCAAGCACGGAGAGTTAGACTGTCACCCTGACCAACAAGGAGTCACCATCTCTGGTATGCGCGTGGAGAGCGGGTGGGTAGGAGTCCAGAGCTTCTTGGAAGGTTTCTGGCCCAGTGCCTCCACAGCATGGCCACTTAGGACACTGAGCACCCCCACCCACCTGCCTGGGCGTGGGAAAACACATTTCCCCATTAGTCTGGCTGAAGCAAGGGTGGGGCTTTTTAAAAGGACATTTCACTAAAAGGATGAAAAGAAAAAAGTAAAAATGCACATGAACAGATTAATAATGCCTGGATCTCTTCCCAAGATAACAAAAGGCTAGTCACTGGAAGTATAAGACTAACATGTATCGAACACCTATGATATGCCAGGCAATAGTCTAGGTGTTTCACATATGTTAGCTAATTTATCCCAATTTAAGCTTCGCAACTTTGTGAAGTAAGTTTTATGCCCATCTTATAGGAGATAAGCAAGGCCAGATAAGTGAATTGCCTTTCTAAGTTCAAGTTCCCATGGTAAGTCACGTAACCTCTCTGTGCTTCAGTTTCTGCATCTATAAAATGGTGACAATAATATGGTCCCCATCATGGGGTTGCATAGTAGTATGGTAAGTATCCTATAAGGGTTAGCTGTTATTAAGACTATCTAGGAACTCGATGACTTGCAAAACTCTCTCCCTCTCTTAACTGACTATCTTTGATCCTCACATGCCTGTCACACATTCCCTTGCAGTTAAACTGTGGACTGTCCCGCTACCTGTGCACCTCATGAGTCTGCCTCAATTGTAAAATCTCGCTTCAGGCAGGAGAGTGATGCTCCCCTGGGTGCATGAGGCTGAAGGCTCAGCATGGTCTTCAAGAGGAGAGACGTGTGGACTTGGCTGAGTTGCCCTGCCGGACCCTGGAGGCGTGGCATGAGCCCGGGGAACCCATGCAGCCCCTCTGATTAGGGAGTCCATGACACTTACGAGATTAAAGAAGGTTATGTATGCTAAATCCTAGAAGCCACAGAGAGTCCAAACTTCACTTAACCTTTGAGGAAATGGGAGGCCAGAGAGTGAAATGCCTTGCCAGAATTCACAGTCAGTTGGTGGATTTTGGACTTCCAGTCCAACGCTCCCTGTGCTCTACCACTAGAGACAAGCTGAGGAGGGAGCTGGAGGTTGGCTCGCCCAACAGGAGGGGACAAAAGTTGTATTAAAAGAGGGAGTTATCAAGTAGAGCCTGGAGCACCTGACATGCTTGTTAGTGTTGCTCTAGATCACTAGCCAGTGTGGCTGCTCAAAACCTACCCCTATCAGCCCTGATACTCTTTGCTCCTGTGAAGTGTTGTGCCCTCGGCACTGCTGGGTGCCTTGGAATATACTGGGAGAAATGTACACAGAAAGATAAAGATGGTGAACATAACCTTTTTTGTGAGTTCGTTTAGGAAGGGAGTAAGCAGAGCTTGGGCCATAATTCTCAAGTTCTGACCCTCTGCTCCAGGTTGCACTGGAAACTCGCACTCACATTCAGTCTGGTCCAGTGATGGATGTAGGGCTGCTGCTGTTTCATGTAGTATCCCAGTTCTTCCTTATTCCCTGCCTTTGGCCCAGAAGGAGCTCAGGGGAGGCACATGACAGCTTGAAGATGTTTTTATTGGGGAGGAGAGGGACTAAACGGAGTCCTGACAAATCTAGGCATATGTGCTCAGGCTTAGGAGAGAGACAATAAATAGGTGGTAACTCGGGAGGGATCTCAACGCAGCAACAGGGGCACCATTTGCCCTAATCTCTGGCCTTGCTCGTCCTCTTTGCTGTGTGAGCTGAGTGTGAGGTTCATTGCAAACTGGGGACCTGAAAGAGGAATTCTTGGCTCTAAAGAGTATCAGATCCTCCATCTTGCTTGTGAGAAGGCCTTAGTTTTGGAGATGTCTGAATTGGTGCCTAAGGGCTCATCTGAGGAAAGAAAAGGATTGAGATGAGGCTGGTGCCAGGGGAGGACCCCCCCACACCCCCACCCCAGCTCATGTTAATACTTAACTTGGAGCGCCAGGCATGCCTGAGCTCATGAAATCAAGCCCCTGGGGGAATAGCTTGGGCCCAGTACCTGCCACACTCAGTTCCAGTTCCACCCCAGGGTTGGGCTTGATGGCTTATCTACCTGGCACTCTCACTGTCACCCAGGGAGCATCCCACATTTTCAATGGGGTTCAGGAACGCAGGGTGTCCTCACCCCTAGCATCCTTCTGACTGCCTCCAGCCGTGCCAGGACCCGTGGGGCCTCCTGTGGACACAGCATCCGTAGCTCCCCGGGTTTCATATGAAGCAGCTGGTTGCCCATCAGGGACCCGAGAGTCTTCACAGTGCTGGGAACAAAAACAGAGAAGCTGGGGCAGTGGTGGGGCAGAAGGACCTGAGTAATTGGGTAGAGAAGGGGCTGCTTGGGCCTGGAGGCTGGGGTTACAGGAGAATTTATAGAATAGGGTATCTGGAGGTGAAGGAGTAAGATACACATTTTGGCTTAATCCAGTTTCAGAGCTCATGGGTTTGAAGGGAAAAGTGCCCTGGAAGAAACTCTTGTAGTAGGGACGGGTAGCTGGCAGCCAAGTTCCTTGAGTTCCCCTGATCCTGCTGCCTTCCCCACGGCAGGGGTTCCCCACTTAGTGCTCTAACAGAAGCATGAACACATCTCCTCTTCGGCTCTCTTTAACTCAGCAGAGGCAGCGCTGTGACGGTGCGGCACCCGTGGGTCTGTTGTGTACCGTGTAGGTCAGGTTGTATGTTCTGGGGCTCTGAGTTTCCTTGGTTATTGTCTGAGCCTTTTACAGAGGCTTTCCTAACACACGCCAAGGGGCCAGGCACTCACACAGTGGAGAAGTTCTCTGCCTGCAGCCAGGCTGTGACCTCCGCAGGCCTTGAGCTAAGTCGAAGCATTGGAGCCTGGAATTGGGGGAATTGGGGGTCAGAGGTCATCTCATCTCAGAGCCACCCATAGCCCCCATGATGTGGGACCCTTCTCTGGGCTGCCATCACATCACTTATCTCACTCCATGGTTTGCTTGTCTGGCAGGGACCAGAGTTGTCCTCTGCTATGGCCCCGTGATAAACTTGGCACCCAGTAAGCACGTGATAATACTGATGAAATCAAACCAGGACAACCTCCTCCACTTGTCATTGAATCCTCCCCGCTCCAACGCATGACCTAGGCCTTAGAGTTTCTGGTTAGTCTAGGCTGGGTAGTACCCGAGGGGGTGACTCTCCCTGGCTTCCGGGGGACCCCAACTGTAGGGGCTCCAGGATGTTGCTGGGAATGTAGCCGCTTTGTCCTGTCTCATTCTTCACCAGCCACCACCGCTTGCTCTGGTCCAGAACCTGCCGAGAGCCACCACCTCAGTCCCTGGAGCCTCCCAAGCCAGCCTCCCCCTCCCCCACAAGGCTTTCTCCCTCCCGGCCCTTCCCCACTTCTCTTCCCTCTCTCCAGGCCACCCACCCCAGCAGCCCCATACCCACACCACCTGCCCCAGGCTGCCTATAGCTCCCACCAACCACAACCTCCTTTTCTGGGCTCGAACCCATGCCTTACCTCCAGCACCTCTCCCTGGACCACTGTCAGTTCCTGTGGGTTCCGAGCTTCAAACTCATATAGGACTTGCATTCTCAGGGCTGGCTTGACAGGTTTGGGGCTGAAGGGCACAAGGTTGGGGTCTCCAGGATGAAGGCCATTATTGTGTGTCTCCTCTTGAGCCAAGTGTGAGGTGCTCCCTGACCTAGAACTTACCCCCCACCACCCGGCAGAAACAGAGTTAGGATGGCTGGATTGAGCACCTGTCTCAGCCCCAGAACCCCATATGTCTCCTGCCTAGAGTCTGGAGGTGACTTTCGGGTTTCCACAGAGTTTAATGGCAGGTCAGTATTAGGTGGGATTGAGTTAGGGGTTTCTGCAGGCAGGAGGGGTCTGAAATGTAGCTGATTTCTGAAGACTCTTCCAACAGTGGACTTTCCTACACCTGATTTCTCCTCTGAGCACTTTATACATGAGCTCAGGGAAATTAGAGGCATGTGTGTGTAATACCACGAGAAGAAGGGATTGGAGCCCGGGAAGGAAAACCCCTGCTTTTCGCCCAAGGTAGGGGAGGGATGTGCTTGTACACGTACGTGTCAGGCTAAAAGAGAGCCTGGAGTGTCTCTAAGACGTAGCATCCACAGATCCACAGGACCAGCCCCACCCCTCCCTCCCTACAACCATACAGTCCCAACTAAGCCCAGGGCTTACTGGAGGGAAGGAGAGTCCTGGTATCCTGAGAGTGCCTGTGGGGGCAGAATAAAGTGAGTGAGAGCAGAGAGTCAGCCAGCATGGAGGTAGGAAACTGGTATCAGACCACAGATCCACTCGCACACAGCTGCCCCATGTCACATCCCCTGCCTGCCCACCACTCAAATGTGGGTATCCGCGTGAACCCACTTGCTGCTCAGTTGCCATGTGACCACGGTTTGGACTGAGAAGGCAGAAACTAGCCAGAAACCAGGGTTTGGAGTAGGGTTCTGTGCTAAGCTCCCTTACCTGGTAGGAGGGTTCTGGAGGCTGCCAACCATCATAGAAAACAGGTTGGTAGGGCGGAGGCTCATTGCCTGTCCAGTCGGCCCTGGGAAGAAAACAAAGGTGAGTCCACTCTGTTCCAAGCTGTGGGGTATGGGGAAGGAGGAGATGGCAGAGCCTAGCCTCAGGGTCTTCTAGGCAATGGAGGACATGGCCCATGTGCACAGATGAAAGGCCCAGAACACCCACAAAGGAGCAAAGAGTTAGGCATGAACAGATCCCACAGTGCAGGTATCTGTGGCCAGTCTCACCTGTTCCCATGAAGTGCAGATATGTCAACTCCATAAGAACATTTGGCATACTTTATTGCACTGATCGGGGCTTCGAGTTAAAGTGGTGAGGGCAAAGATGAATATTTCCTTCTCTGCTCTGTCGCTGGATTTGAGACGCCCTGTTATTGCTCCTCTCACACTATATTGCATATAACTCTCACATGTCTGTGTTTCTGACAATATTGAACTCCTTGAGAACTTGTTATCCCGAGGACAGTGGAAGGCACATAGGCGGCAACTAATAAATATTTTATTCAATGGGAACAAATAAATCATTCCCTCTTCTGATGCTTTTTAACTCATTCCTTCTCTTTTCGCTAAATCCTGTTCCTACTTCTTTCCTTGATCCTGTTCCTACTCCTCTTAAGCTGTCATGCCGTTACCTTTCTCTTTACCAAATTTTTGAGGATGTGTCTATATGCCCTGCCTATATTCTCTTTCCTCGGTTCTTTCCTTATTTCTTGCAACCGGATTTTCACCTCTGCCATTGCTCTATTGAAACCAGTTCTTCTAAAGTCCTGGTAATTTCCTGATTGCCAAGTCCAATGGGCTTGTGTGATCTCTATCCTTCTGGACCACAGCAATTAGTGTCATGTACAGCTTTGGGCCAATTTGCCTAAAATCAAGTTGCCTAAGTATAATTTGCCTGAAATTCAACTCTTTTGAATGTTTTTTTATATCTCTTTAGTCTATTTTCTGTATTCTTGTCTTTTAATTCATTTATTCACTTTTTTTTGTTATTTTAAGAAATTAGGAAACATTTTAGGGCACGTCTGACCTAATTTTGTATTGAAAATAATAAACAGACAGAAAGTAGAATAGAGATCACCATGGACTGGGGAGAGGAAGGAATTGGTACAGAGTTTTGTTAAATGTTGAATGGGTACAGAGTTTCTGTTTGGAATGATGAAACATTTCTGGAAATGGATAGTGGTAATGGTTGCCCAACCTTATGTAATGCCATTGAATTATACTCTTAAAAATGTTAAAATGGTAAATTTTATCCTATGTATATTCTACCACAATTAAAGAGATAGATTACATTGAATTATAATTTATGTCTTTAGATGACTTGAACAGCAAATCCTTTAATGGGGCTGAATTGAAAAGAACTGCTCTCTAGGCAAAAGATGCACGAGAACTGGCTTATTTCCTGGTGGACTTCTCTTTCTAAAACCCTCTCCTCTCTTGTTTTTTTTTTAATGTTTTTATTTTTTTATTAGCTGAGCCATCCTGCCACCTGTTGGCGAGCTCAGCGGCAGCTCAGCTCGGGCCGGACTCGAACCGCTGTTGCTCAGAGCGAGCTCTTAACCAACTGAGCCACTGAGCCGGCCCTCTTGGTTTTTTTAATGCCGCTGCTTTTTTGTTTCTTCTTTTTAACTCTCAGGAATTTCTCTTTGCCTCCTTAACCCTTTTTCCCTTTCTCCACTTACATGTAAAAGTTCTTCTTCTCTCATGGGCTAGAGAAGATTTTGCTCATTAAGGTGAGCTCTGGGGCTGCTCACTGGACCTCTCACCTCACGGCTGGGCCACCCTGTCTCTGTGGAATGTTCCACTGACGCCTCAGCTCAGCATATCCAAACTGGTTTCATCCCCCATTCCCCATGGCTCTCATCAGTTTGGCTTTGTTGTCCAACTGCCCATCTCATGGTTACATGGACATGCCATCTTTCTCTCTTAACTCCTCGGCCAGTTGGTTGCCAAGTCTTATTGGTGTTACACTTGCATCATATTTTACATCAGTAATTCTTAAGTTCTGGGCTGGACTGTGAAAACTTTGTTTTTGACAAAAATGAGAAAATATTTTGGTAGAAGGTTGCCAACTCTACTTTCTCGTGAAGAATTGTTCTTTTTTTTTCCTCCTGAGATAATGCCTTTCCTTCAGTGGGGAATGATGGTAAGTGGTGGTTTTACAAAGAAATTGTTCGTACTTACTCTAATAAAAAGTTGGGAACTCCATGTACAGTCCTGCAATTTGTTTTGAGATATTTCTGGTTTGTCACAAGGTCGAGCCTGCCACATCTAATGTCCTGCCCTATGTCCCCAATTCAGCTCAGGCCTTGTCTTCACTCACCGGCTGGTGGTCCAGGCTGCACCCAGCCCCTTCCAGAGGTTACTCTCAGGAGGGCTTAGACAGGACTGCAGCAGGGTGATGGCTTTGGGGGTGAGGAGGGGTGAGATCACTTGGGCTGCTAGGCCAAGCTCAGGGCACTGGGTCAGGATCTAGAGGAGGGATGGAAGGCGTCAGGCGGCATTGGCTCCCACAGGGCCCGACTGGATTGGGAAAGGGCCTGGAGTCCGTGGCTGCCCGCTTCTGCAGTGCCATGTAGCCTCAGGCCTCCTGCTCCTTGCCGGCGCCCTCAGAGCCCTATGTCCTTGGCACCGACCCCAGCCCCTCTAGCCTGCCGAGGTGTGTTGTACACAGCAGGGATGGTGTCTTGGGGTTGAGGAGGGTGTGTTGGGGGTGAGCGAGGGGCAGACCCCACAGCCTCCCTCTGCACCCTGCCTGCCCCCTGGCCTCTGCCCCGTCTACATTTCAGCCTGTACCTTTTCACCACCCTGTTCTCCCTCAACTCACGAAGTCCAGAGTTTGGAAGAGGATGTGTACGAACTGAGGGGCACTTGTCTCCTGCAGCTGCATGGCCAACTTCCCCTGGGGACACAAGGTGATGCCATCACCAACCTTCATCCTACTCCACCTTCACCAGAATCCCAGGGTCCGTAATTGTTCTGGGCCTTGTTGGGAGCTTGGCACTCTCCAAAAGTCCCAAGAGAGGGGAGGGAAGGTTCCAGGGGGAGAAGCCAGAGAAACCTGGGATGTTTATGAGGTCAGAGAGGAGGGGATTGCTGGGGGGCGGGAGGGCTTGGGAACTTGTGGGGACCCACACACCAGGAGGTTGAAGCTGTACTTGATCTTCTGGAAGCAATCGATGTACTGTGCCTGTGTCACCCCTACGGGGGAAGGAGAAAAGGCGCGGTCACAGATTATCCCAAGATCCCCCCCACCCCCGCCGTCCTCTTCTCCCCTGTTCCTCAGCACTCACCTCCCTTGGCCTTGTTCTTTTTCTTCCCCAGTCTCTTCTTCTTATGACTGGTGTTTGCCTGGGCCTCCTTCAGATGTCCCACGAATAGCTCGATGTCCCTTAGGACATGGTTCAGCACCTCCTAGACCACAAACAGTTTGTGGCTTTGAGTGGACAGTTAGGCTCACCCTGGAACTCCCTGCACAAACCTCCCTGGCTGTCTTCAGCCCAGGGCTTGTCTTGGCCATTCTGGGACCTGGTCTTCTAGGGGGAGGAGGAGGGTTGCTGTCCTCTCTTCCACCAGGCTCAGAAAGCTTCAGCAAAAGCCCAGACATTCTGCAGTTACCTCATCCCTGACTGAGTCCTCAGGAGATGGTGGCCGCCTTGGAGGAGGCAGATGGAAGGCACTTGGTTCTCGGGTGCTGGAGTGACGTGACAAGGACCTTGGGGAAGGTGGTATACCTGCAATATAAGGGGAACATGGCCTCTTTGATCTTTGACTAAACCTTCTCCTCCCACCTGTCCCCATGTCCCAAACTTACTGTGCTCTGGGGCCATCCAGCGGGTCTGTTCTGGAGGGGGTCCCCGCTCCAGAGGGGGTGCCTGCTCCTTAGGGATTGGCCTTTCCGGAGGAGGACCCCTCCATCTGTCCTGGCCTTGGTGAAGGGCTCCAAATCGGGGTCTGGGGAGCACATGGTGGGGACACAGCTTTGACAGGACTCTTGGGACAGAGGCTCTCCCCACACCTCTCTAGGTCTCCATCCGGACCCTTCCCTGATTCCACCCTGCCTCATCTGTCTACCTCTGGGCCCTCTCAAGTCCCATGTCAGGCTCCGGGGATAGTCTCCAGTGTTCCCTGGGCCCAGCCCTACCCACTTCCCCATGCCCATCTAAGCCCTGATCCCAGCCTGGTCCCTCCCCAGCTCCAGGCCCAGGTTCATTGAGCCACAGGCTCCTGGGCTCCCCCAGATGTGAGGCCAGGGTCTGGCCCCCCTGGGCCCGAGCTCTGAGGTCCTGCAGCTGGGCCGGGGCAGAGGCTGCCTACCTGTGCTCCAGTTCCTCCTCCAGGGCCTTCTGCAGACTGGTCCTCAGTCGCTCTGCCTGGAGGAGGCAGCAATTAGGCAGGTTATGTGTGTGTGTTTGGGGTGGGCAGGGAGAGAGTGATTGTTGTTGGGTCTCAGACCCACTCTATCCTCAACCCCGCCCCTGGCCACTCACCCCCACTTCCTGGCACTGGAAAAGCAGAGTGCTGTTGCCCGGCAGACCCGATTCCTGCACGGTGATGGACAGGATGGAGTTGTAGGAGCAGGTGTTGAGCGCCACATCCATGGCCTGGATGCTGTTCAGGTGGTAAGAGTCTAGCTCCTCCTGGGCCAGGTGAAGAATTCGGCTATGAGGTCACTGAGAGCCAGGGTGGCTCCTGGGATCTTCTGACCTGTGTTGCCCCAGCCCTCCAGTGGCCTGCGGCTGGATGTCATCTCCCCGGACCCCTGGACCTCTGTTCCTGGTCTCTTCCTCAGCCTGGGTGTGTTTTGTATATGGGGAAGGGGGGTTGCTGTTTGGGGCATAGAGGGTGGAGTGCATGCCTGCTGTTTGCTTTTCCAACAGCCTGGGTTAGCTCTGACCCTTTGCGGGGTACGCTGGGAGGGCTAACCTTGGTCTCGATGTCCAGTAGCTGCAGCCAGCCATCTTTGACCTGGAGGAGCAAGTCCTGGCTCCATACCCGGCCCTGAGCATCCATTTCCTGCAGCTTCTGCAGGGCGTCCTTGGGCTCCCGGACTCTCTGAGTGCCCAGCTTACACGTCATCAGGTGCTGAGGACAGAAGAGGAGGCCCAGGAATGAGAGCAGGTTTGGAGAGGGGGATCACAGGTGGTAGCGGGCAGGGAGGGAGAAAGGCAGCAGCAGAAGAATACATGGCCCTAGCCTTCTTGTGGAGGAGTTCCAAGCAATCCCAGTAAAGTAGCCTTCAAGGGCCAGTGTGAGGGCCAGAAGCAGTCGAGCTAGGTTAGGGCCCCCAACATGGGGTCCAATGGGCTGCAGAAGGATGTTTAGGACCTTGGAATAAGGACATGACCTTTAATAGTCCAGGTCAGCTGAGGGGGGCAGGGTAGTGGTAGATGTGGGCTCCAAGCGCCCAACAAATAAAGTCTGAACTCCTCTGGGTGGGATATATCATCCTCAGTTTTGTCCCTGGCTTCCTTTGCCCCATTCAGGAATCTACCATCCCAGCTTGGTCCTTCTCCTCACTGACCTAGAATTCTTGCCTCCGTGCCTTTGCTCATGCTGGTCCCTATACCCAGAATGTCTTTCCTACTTCTGCTCATCCATCACCTCCCAGTGTTTCAGGAAGAAGACCAAGCCCCACCTTCTCCCTGATTCTTGCCCAATGTGGACTGTAGGGATCTTAGCTCCACTCAACCACTTGCCCACAGCTAGTCTGATCATCCTGGCAGGTTTTTGCTGTTATTCTCCTTCCTCAAGGCGACCCCTCCCATCTCCCATCCAACTTCACGAGTCACAGTCCTGCCCCTCACTGTCCCCTCCAGGCCCTTCTTGGGGGAATGCTGTCTGCCTCTTGCCCTTGATCCCATTGCCCTGCTCTCTGCATAGCTCCTCTTCAGGAGAAGCTGCCATATTCAGGGGCCCCTGACACCATGAGCAAACGCCCTGGCATCCTGGATGTGCCTCCTCTCGCTGTCTCGCCTCCTGGGCCTAAATGAAGCCAGTTCCCAACCTCCACCCCTGCCACGAAACTCAATACCCCTGGCCCCAACCCAGCTGACTTGGGGGAGCCCTATCTCTGCTGCCCTGTGGAACCTTCAGACCATCACCCCATGTCCTTCTTGGCTTCTTCTCCATGACAGCCCCAAGTCTGCTGCTGCCCAGGGACAGTTTCTACCCAGATGCTTCAGCTTGATGAGGTGTACACTCTCCCCACCACACCCTTCTGGCCTGTGCTTTCACTGCCATTCTGTTGACAGCCCTTCAGGGAACTAGATCTCACAGTGCAAGTGTCCTCCGCCTAGGCAGAGCCAGAGCCCCCATTCTAGCCTCCAAGCAGCACATGGCAGCGTTGGGAGCTCAAGCCCAGGCCCCTCCCTGCGCCTCCTTCTTCCCAGCATGCCAGATCCTTGGCAAAGAGCAGTTCCCTGGAGACCAGTGTGGCAGCGGGTGAGTCAGGAGGTAGGTGGGGGTTGGAGGGGGCTTGCAGGTGCCTCCTGACCCATTCCTCCATTACTTGTTCCTGCCTGGGGACAGGACATCCACCAGTTCAACCTCTAGCCCGGCCTCCCTGCCGATGCCCAGCTACCCAGTCCTCTTTCTTGGCACTTAGCAGATGCTCAGTTAGGCTTGTTGGACCCAAGCCCATCTGATCTTGTTGGGTCAGGCTGTTGGCTTCCATAGCAAGGGCTTGTCTGGGATGTCTGTTTTTTTGGCAGGGTGCTGGGCACATGGAAAATCTTGGCTTGAATCGGGAAATTGTCTGGGGCCCCGGATTACTCACCTCCACCCTGTGCTGCAGGTGGGTGGGCTCTGAGGTGAGGCTGTGCGAGTACTCCTTCCGGTGCACTGCGGGGGTACAATGTAAAGGCATGGGAGGCAGAGAACCAGGTGAGACAAGTGAAGGGCATGGTCAATGTGGGGAGGTAGAGACTGGAGAGCTGGGGTTCAGGGAGCCCAGGGGGAGGGAAAGGAGAGGGGACCAGAGGGAGAGCTTACTATAAATGGCTCTGCTGCTGGGCCGGGACATGGTGACACTGCCGAGATGAGACCCTAGAAGCCAAAGGGACAGTCGTCGGGGCTGGGAGAGGAATTCCAGGACAGAGCAGGGCAGAATGTTGCTATTGCACTCATCCCTAACCCAGCCTGAGACTTGGACCAAGCTCTCCCCTGGGGCTTCCAGAATAAGAACCAAAGCCCTGGCTCCAGGGGCCTTTCTGGAGCCATCTCCAGCCATGCTTTTCACTGAGAAGCCCTCCATCTTGGTTGGGACTGGGAAGCCCCAAGGCAGGTTCCTGGCCTCCCATTATTTGGTCAATAAAGTTCATTCCCGTGGGCCCAGGAAAGCTGTGTGGACAGGGAAAGACGCCAGCAGAGGTGGGCTGCACCCAGCCTCTGTCAGTAATCAAGGCATTAGATTCAACAGCCTTTCCTGCCAAGGCAAACCTCTGTCCAAGCCTGTTTCAATTCTGCAAATTGGGAGGCGGCTGATGTTGGCTCTTAAGCTGAGTACCCATTCATGAGGCGTGTGTGTGTGCGCACGTGTGTGTGAGTGCACGCATGTACATACATGTTTATGATGGGGTTCTGTAGGATTTATCAGTGATCTGTGCTCCCCTAAATGTTTTACTAAGTCTCCTGTCTCTTTGTCTTTCCATACTCTGAAACCTCTGCTCAGGCCCTTCCCACCCAAACCGAAATTCCAGCTCAAGGATCACCTCCTTGGTGAAGCTCTCCTTGACCATCTCACTCTACCCTGCCCAGAGTGCCCTCCTGATGCCACACCGAACCGTATCCATTTCTCTCTAACAATGATAACCACCCTGGTTTGGGCTGTGAGCCTGGTGCCAAGCCCCTGATGAACATTACGTCATTGAGTTTTCACTTCCATCTACTTCTACTTCCTTGGTGCTGTGTGCCCAGCACTGTTCTATGGAGTTTACCATCATCAACTTGTTTACTCCTCAAAACACCCTCTCCAGGTGGTACTGTTATTATTTCGTTTGCCAGATGAGGACACAGGCTCAAAGAGGGACCAGGCCTGAGGTCACAGTGAATGTTTGATAGAGAACAGACCCAGCCCTACCTGGCTGCCCGCTCCATGCTTGAATTGTTTATATATGTGCCTCTGTCACTGGGCTGTGAGCTCCTAAGGACAGACTTTTGCCACCTCTGTCTCCTCAGTGCCTTCCTGGCACAGAGGAGTCTGGAAGACATGGATATTGAAATGAGATGCAGGCAAATGAGGTGCGTGTGTTCGTGTGCGGAGGGGTGGGAGTTGGTTGGGCTTGTGGGTCAAGAGTATGTGTTATTTGAGTGAGGTGTGTATGCTTCTTGGGTAGGAGTCAGTTTTGTGGATGCCCATTAATTTACATGGTATTCCTGCATTGGACAGAAACTCTGGAATACCCTGGGCAAAGTGTAGGAGAGCAGCCCACACCCCTATTTATTAGGACTGCTATGAAAACAGCCAAGGATCTGATAAGATGACTCAGTGATAGGGAGATGAGTTGCTAGTAAACAATTAAGGGATTGTGGAGGAGGTGCCGGGCCTGTGTTTTTCTTGTCTGGGGGGACCCCTTTCCTCTTTAAGGGTTTTTCTTGTCTGGGAGGACCCCTTTCCTCTTTATGGGTGAGGAGCGCTAGAAGCCTGCTCCTCCTCTCCCCAGTCCACCCCCACTCCCGCCCCGGCAGCTGTAACACTTCCTGTTTCTATTTCTATTTCTAGATGCAGAGGAGAACATGACCTCTGCCATGTTCAGTGCTGCTCCCCACTCCCTCCTACGCCAGGGTGATCCCCCCTGTAGCTTTTGCTCCTGCCTTGCCAGGGGACAGGGGCTGTGGTAGTCTAGTGTGCCCCACTTATCCCTGAATTTAGGGGCCCAGGGCAGGGGCTCGGAGTGTCTACTTCATGGCCACTGGGAGAAATAGCCCCGAGATGCTTCTGGAGCCCCGGCCCCCCTGCCCTGCTCCCAGCTAGCTGGCCCACAGCCGAGTCCCAAGCCCTTCTTGGCGCAGCTCCTTCCGGCTACATCTCAGGGTGGGCTGGAGACCCTGGTCCGGGAAGCCATTGAGCTGCTCCCACTGCCTCGGGGGTTCCGTGCAGCTAGCTGGGCTCTGACCTGAGGGCCAGGACTTACCTGGGGTTCTGTGAGGCCTGGTGGCTGGTCCTCCCAACGGGGCTGGTGTTTGGGTTGGTGATCCAGTGCTGGTGGTGAGAGGGCAGTGGCTTCTCTGCCAGCCCCAGCCCCACAGATCAGGCGGGTCCTGGGCGAGCAGGAGGGCCTTAAGTTGATGAGGTCATGAGGCAGCCACACCTGTGCTCTTTGGACTCTGATGGGTGGGGAGGCGCCTAGGCCACCACCTGTTCAACACCGAAGCCTGCACCTGCGGCAGAGCATGCGCCGACAGGTGTCCCAAACTTAGCCAGACCCCTGCTTCCCAGGTCCCCCCCTCTGCTTGCCTCTGGTGTTAGGGTGTGGCCCTCTTTCCTCTGCCCTTTGGGTACGTCTTCTCAGGCCCCAAGTCAGCATCAGGCACTAGGACTGGGACCAGAAGGAGAGGGTACCCTCATCCCAGGAGAGTCTAGCTTCTGCGGTCAGGGGACAGGCAGCTGGGGGTGGACCCCACGCTTCGGGAAAGCTGTGGGCTGGCATGTGTGCCTGTGTGTGCACGTGCTACACATGTGAGTGCATCACTGTGTGTGCCCAGCTGCTGCCTGGGGGCAGGACACGGATCTTGTAAGAGCAGATGGGGACTGGGCCCTGGGGCCACCTTGGGCATTACGTGGAGGCCTGAGATTTCTTTCTGGGTAGGGTCCACCTCATTCTGTCCTTTATTCTGTCCCCTCCCACCTGGCAGGGCGCCCCCCAACCTTCAATTCTAGTTCTTCCGCTTTCTTTCCTTCCCCAACCTACCCTATGCCCTCAGACCTCTGGGTGATACCTGCCTGGCTTTGGCAAAGATGGGAAACGGAGGTCTGTCTCTGTCCCACTTTATGAGCCTACCCAGTCCCTGTGCTTCATTTTATTTAAAAACCTTCCTTGGCACCCAGGGTGGGCCAGCCTGCCTGTCCTTTGGGAGCTCACATTCTAACAAGGGAGG